CAAGCATCCAGAAGCAATCATGCATAACAAACAAAGGCTATAAATTAGAATATTACACCAATAGCATAAAATCAAGATGAAAAGTTTGTAAAATGAATCTACGTCTCGCTACGAACACACAGACGCGAAGATCACAAAAATCGAAGCTAAAATAAAGAAGTTATGAATTAAACAAGATTTCCTTTAATAAAATAATAGATTAAATCTAACCTCGAATTTTAAAAGTTGAAAACATATCTAACGGTAGTATGAACATGTAGATTACGCAATTATGAACCTAACGCAACTTGGACGGACCAAATCAGAGTTAAAACAAAGATTTTATGGCTAAAACAAGATTAGTGGAAAAACTGTAAATAGATGAAAACATATTTTGGATCTAATCCAAAAGAAACTACGCTTTTAAAAGAAAAAGGTGTATTCTGGATTTGCACATTGGACTGTGGGTTGACATCAAATAATTATAAGGGTCAATTTGTAAAACAACAGGCGAAGGGGTACGGGTGAATCTAGACCGCTGGATTGAATCTGGACAGCTCAGATTAGACGGGAGGGGGAGAGAGAGCGCGGTCGTCGGAGAAAGGCCGACACGGCGGCTGCCATGAACGGCGGCGAAGAGCTCGCCGGCTTTTGTCGATTGCGACATTCCGAGCATCATCGGACACGGGAAGAGAGAGGAGATGACGGCGAACTCACCACAACGAACTACGGCGGCGAAGAGTGGACGGAGGCGGCTAGCGGCGAGTAACAGCGACGGCGAAGCTTCTGTGAACGACAGCGACGCGTTATAAGCAAACCAGAGCGAGAAAAAGAGTAAGAAGGGGCTCAACGGGTTCGTGAACTTAATGTGAAAGCTCGGAGTGGTGGTTACGGTGACGGCGGAGCGGTTAGGCAACACGGCGGCGTCGAACTCCTTCTCGACGAGATCCGGATGGCGGCGCTAGGGCACAGGGCGACGCTGCGGCTGAATTAGGGCTAGGTGAGGGCGGCACGAGCGCAGGGTTGCTATTTAAGAGGGCATGGAACTTGCGGATCACACCACAACGATGGAGCACGGCGCGGCAGCGGACTCCTCCGGTGGAGTCCGGAGCGAACACGGGAAGAAGAAAACCCTGACAGGACGGTCCCGGCCGTTAGCAAGAGAGAAGGGAAAGGAGGGATGGCTTGGCTTGCATTTCAAATGGCATGGTCATGCTGAAGGAAGCAAGACCCACGGGGAAACTAGGCCGAGCTGGACCGAAAACCAGGGAGAGGGTAAGTTTTCCTTTTCTTTTTCTAAACTAATTTTCCAAACCAATTTTGAAATACAAATTCAAATCTAATTTGAATCCTTTTGAAGTTTTGCTCAAATACAGTCATCACAAAAACAAATATGCAGCAGCATGAATGCACCATCATGTATTTATACCTTATAATTGATTTTATTTTCACAAAAATTATTATTTTCTACCTTTGCATGCACACACATATGCATAATAAAATCATTTTCTCATATTTTAAAATCATATAAATTTTAGGGTGTTACACTTATTATATATACATAAGAGGTGCATGCTACCTGAACAATTGGTAATTTGGCATAAAAAACAATTCAAAATTTATATAAACTTTTAGATCTTGTTTGTAACGTGGGAATTTCTCTCTAGTAGTTTTCTTGTGAAATTAAACATTTTTTGTAAAATACTGTAACATTTTTAAAAAAATCCTACGCTCCGATTTTGTAAAATTCTGCATGATTTTTATGAAAATCCTGTGTTTCAAACGGCTCTAATCCATTATTCCATTTGATTATTAAATAAATGACCCACGCCCAACTGTATTGCCTTCCTTCTCGACGAAGCCATGCTTCGGGCTTCGGAAGGCGGAGACGGAGAGGCGGAAAGTCCAACACTGATGCCCCTTCACTATGGATGAAAACGGTACGGATATTTATTCGACCGTCCGTTCGACCGAACAAATATGAACACTTATCTAGATAGTTACTCGGATATCCGTAATTTTTTTCGGATACGGATACTAAAACGGATATCTTAGGCGGATATCAAATACGGATGTAATATCATCGATATCCGGCGGATATCGGATAATCCGGTTAAGTATCGGATATATCCGGATATTTAAAAACGGATATTATCCGGATATTATTCAAACGACCTTGGATGGAGAAATGATCAAAATAAAAATTGTAGATCTCAAAAAGTTATGAAACTTTATTGTTTACAACTTTTTCGTTTGAAATCATTTAGTGCTTCAAAATTTAAACCGTCCAAACTTTCTCAAATGAAAAACTAGTTTATAGGCGTCAAAATTTAAAAATCACAAATTTGAACCATCCAAACTATCTCAAATGGAAAGTTGACCAAAACAACAATTGTAGATCTTGATGAGTTGAACAAACTTGGTATTCAAAACTTTTCAATTTGAAGTCATTTAGAGTTCATAATACTAGAGTCAAAGTGTTGTTTTTTAATTTGACCAAATTTGACTTGGTCAAACTTGCTCAAATGAGACACTAAATGACCTCAGATGAAAAAACTCTGAATACCAAGTTTGATCATCTCAGCAAGATCTACAATTGTTACATAGCTCATTTTCCCATTTGAGAAATTTTTATGAAACACTAGTCACAAATTCTTGAATCTCATATAGACTTTGTGAAACTATGTCACACACTTGTGAAATTTGAACTATATTTTGTTCAAACTTTCTCAAATGAAAAAATAGCCTATATAAGGATTGTAGATTTTGATGATATGAACAAATTTGGTATTCAAAACTTTTCAATTTGAGACAATCTAGGGTTCCGAAAACTAGTTTGTAAACGTCGAAATTTAAAAATCACAAATTTAAACCGTACAAATTATCTCAAATGGAAAGTTGACCAAAACAACAATTGTAGATCTTGATGATTTGAACAAACTTGGTATTCAAAACTTTTCAATTTGAAGTCATTTAGAGTTCATAATACTAGAGTCAAAGTGTTGTTTTTTCATTTGACCAAATTTGACTTGGTCAAACTTGCTCAAATGAGACACTAAATGACCTCAGATGAAAAAACTCTGAATACCAAGTTTGGTCGTCTCAGCAAGATATACAATTGTTACATAGCTCATTTTCTCATTTGAGAAAGTTTTATCAAACACTAGTCACAAATTCTTGAATCTTATATAGACTTTCTGAAACTATGTCACACACTTGTGAAATTTGAACTACATTTTGTTTAAATTTTCTCAAATGAAAAAATAGCCTATATAAGGATTGTAGATCTTGATGAGCTGAACAAACTTGGTATTCAAAACTTTTCAATTTGAGATAATCTAGGGTTCCGAAAACTAGTTTGTAAGCATCGAAATTAAAAAATCACAAATTTGAACCATCCAAACTATTTCAAATGGAAAGTTGACCAAAATAAGAATTGTAGATCTTGATGAGTTGAACAAACTTGGTATTCAAAACTTTTCAATTTGAAGTCATTTAGAGTTCATAATACTAGAGTCAAAGTGTTGTTTTTTCATTTGACCAAATTTGACTTGGTCAAACTTGCTCAAATGAGACACTAAATGACCTCAGATGAAAAAACTCCGAATACCAAGTTTGATCATCTCAGCAAGATCTACAATTGTTACATAGCTTATTTTCCCATTTGAGAAAGTTTTATCAAACACTAATAACAAATTCTTGAATCTCATACCGACTTTCTAAAACTATGTCACACACTTGTGAAATTTGAACTACATTTTGTTTAAACTTTCTCAAATGAAAAAATGGCCTATATAAGGATTGTAGATCTTGAATCCATGACCATGACTCCATGAGACCCATAAAGCCATGAGCTTGGCTATTTCTACTCATGCCGCGAAGATTGGTGCTTGTATGATTTTGATGTATGATGTATCTGTATCTATATCTTATTTGTTGCTTTACTCTTTAGTCTTTCGGCTTAATCTAGATGGATTATGGACTTATAGAGTGGTGTAATGGTTTGCGCACGTATGATATATATATATATATATATATATATATATATATATATATATATATATATATATATATATATATATATATATGCTGCTTTTACTCAATATCTGAATAGATATTTGTATCCGACCTTCTCCGAATCCGATTCATACCGTATTCGATACTCATTATTCGTATCCGTAACTGAGTCAATCCGTATTCGTATATGTATCCGAACGATATCCGTGTCCGAATCCGAATCCGAACAGAAATATGAAAACAAATATAATATGAGTGATATCCGTTCGTATCCGATCCGTTTTCATCCCTACCCTTCACTGTCCCGAAATTAGGGTGCGTTTGGTTTGGGAGTTGAAAATTATGTGAAGTTATATTGGATGTGTCGGAAGAATGTCGGGAGGGGTTTTTGATACTAATAAAAAACAAATTACAGAATTCGTCAGGAAACTGCGAGACAAATCTAATGATACTAATTAATCGGTCATTAGCACATGTGGTACTATAGCACTTAAGGCTTTTCATGAACTAATTAAGCTTAAAAGATTCGTCTCGCGATTTTGCCGAGAACTATGCAGTTAGTTTTTTTTTTCATCTATATTTGGTACTCATCCATGTATCCAAACATGCTTTTTTAGGAGGCAAAATTTTTTGGAAAGCCCTTACCACTAGAGCCATGTTTAGTTCCCCTATTTTTCAGAATTTGGCACTATGAAAAAGAAGATTCTCCGTCACATTAAATTTGTGGTACATGCATGGAGTACTAAAAGTTGACGAAATCAAAAACTAATTACACAGTTTGGTTGTACTTTGCGAGACGAACGTTTTAAGCCTAATTAGTTAACGATTAGATAATTATTACCCAATACAAACGAAACGCTACACTGCGCTACCGTGTTCCTGAATTCAGGCGGCGCCAAATCGGTGGCCAACTAAACATGGCCTAGGTCCTTCTACACGCCACTCACTCTCCCCCATCCGGCCATTCCTACCTTGACCAACCTGACGCACCGGACTTGCCGGCGATGGCCTCCTCCACCTCCGCCGGCGCCGGCGCCATTCCCGCCGGCCCACCGTCGACGCTCTCCCCGAACGCGTCTCCCTACACCCTCCTCGCGCGTCAGGCCCGCGCCCCTCTCGGACGCCTCCACGACGGTAATAACTTTCCTCCTCTCCCGTCCCCCAAGTCCCCAACCACCCCTTGGTAGCGCCCATGGAGCTTATGCCCCCTGGACGGTTCCCCTAGGATTGTAGCTCACGTCCTCTCGCGCTTCCCGGTTACTTTGCTGTATGATTGGTATGTCGATTTGGTGCGGTGGCTTGGCGAAAGATTGGGCCTTTTCTGGGGTTCTTGTACTTTAACAAGGAAGGTTCGCAGGACACAGGGATTGGCCCTAGGTTGAAGACTTGAAGTAGTATTATACTATCTGGCACCCAGCATTCGTTATCATTGCCATCTTTCTTTTGTTCTGTAGTTTAATTGAATCACCGGCACAATAATGTAGACTCTGCCTGTTCGCATGCTCGTAAACGATCGTAAATTTCCAGCCGGGAACAGTGTTTTTCTCTCGCACCAAACCAGCCAGCAGTAAATAATCCACGATACGATACGGCCTCCCGAACAGGCTGCTTTGATTCATGTGTTCCTATTTATTACTTACACATAGATAGCATTAATTGTGTCTTACGGATGTGTAGGTGATGCTTCGAGGTTGATTGATAATAACTTTGTGCTGAATGGAGAGGACAACAGTTCTTGTTCGGTGCCACTGGCAGCACACTTTGGGATGAAGCAGAGTGACACTGTTTATTCAAGCAGTGCACATGGAACACGACAAGGTCAGCCAAGCTCCGCATGTGGAATTCCTGTCGGTGTTTATCCATCTCCAACGTCCTCAATTGGGATAGTTTCAGAGGCATCAGTCACCATAGCTTCTGATTTCAAGCAGCACCTTGTTCCATCGACGTCAGGTAAGGGAAGCGGACAACCAAGGGTGACGATCAGAAGCCCTCCAAGTAAAACTTCAGAAACTAACAACACCATTTTCGGTTCTGTTAGCAAATTGGCTATAAGGAAAAATGATGAGTCCAACAAAGAGACTGGGAAACATATCTCCTTCGGCGGGAAATTAGAACTTGGTAATCCTGCTCATGGAAGTGGCAATTCAAAGGGTACCATGGTTCTCCCGAAAGAGCTAAATCCTGAATTTAGCGTGAAGCCTCTTGCCCCATCTGCATGTGCTAGCCCATGTGTTGCAATGGCTGATGACGTGAATCCTGATCCATCGGAGTGTTCTGTGGATTCACCTTGCTGGCGAGGGACAGCTTCTCGTCTCTCTCCATTTGATGGTCTTCCAACATTAGTTGCCCAATCAGTGAAACAAGAATCAGTGGCTTTTGATGCAGGGCAGGAACAAAGCTCTAGCACTGATTGCGAGGCTCCAACTAAACTTCAGAATTTGGTCGCTAGCAAGAGTACGCAAAACCGTTCCCAATCCCATGCTGAATTGGGTCTGTCCAAGGAACCTGGTGGCATTGGTACAAATCTTACACAATATTCCCATGGAAAGGAGCAGTTTGCGAAACATGGTGCAGCAAATCACAATGCAGACAGACACTATTTAGCAGTGATAGATGATTGCATAAAGCGATCTGGCCTAGACTCTGCTGCTCCTGATTTTGTTCCCTTATCTGTTAGGAAATCAAATACCGGCGATGGTGTGTCTCACACTCTGAACTCAAATCAAAATGTTCTATATTATTTCACCTGGTGCACCCTATCTCACTTTTTTTTTTCCTTCTTTGGCTTATGCATGTATTTGGTCCAGCTACAGGTTCCTGTTCTTCATCTGGAGCGAACATGTCAGGAATTCTGGAGGCGATCAAGAGTTTGTCGGAGGTGCTATGCAATAATTTTTCTAATGAAATTGAGCTAGAGGAGCATGACCACTGCCTCCTCCAATCAGTAATTGGGAATCTTCAGAGTTGTCTTCATAAAGCAAGCAAGGTGCACCATTTTTGCAATTTCCATCAATGTGAAATACATTCTGTTGGCGGCATATAATCGATGTGCATCTTTCGGTTTTCCTGGCCTCCTTTTCCAGCTTGTTTATTTGAAATAAGAGGGTATGGTTAATCTAAACTATTCTGCTTTGTTCTGTCTTTTGCTTTAATTTGGACTTCATTTTCCCTCTGGTGCTAAATGTTATTTATCCCATGTCCTCTTAGAAGGAATAACTTTAAATCTTTCTTAAACCCTATCTGTATAAGATCAGTGAGCTATATGATTTCTGCTTCTGTGAAACTTTGCTTTTCTTCAACTAGAAATAATGAAAATCCTAAAAAATTATCAGTGTTGCCACTTGTCATCAGCATTTAAAACTCGAAAGACTTGCAATTGAATTGTTTGATTTGATTCAGTGATGTAGTAAACCTTGTTTTGGCTCTTACTAGGTTCCTGTTGTGGTTGCTTCTGACAAGTCAGGAGGACTAAAGGCTTGCTATGCTCAGAATGCAGCTTCAAAATCTGTCGCAGGAGACTGCAATGGTAGTTACACTGCTGATAATGGAAAAGGCATAATTATCTCTAATCTTGGTGATTCTAGTCGTTTGGTTGGTGACTTAAGGAAAAAGAGTGTGACAGGGTACCAGGTAACCTTTTCTACACATTGTAAGACAGTTTTGTTACTTTTGAACGTGCAGAGTATCTTGATGAATTTTGTCTCCCAGTAAGTACAAATTATGAGATATGTGGTGAAACTTCTGTTTGGCAACTTTTAGAATAATCATGTAAAACAATCTGCTGCTAGCATTTTCTCAGAAAATATCTTATAATTTGTTTCCTATTTCTTTTGTACCATTGTATTAAGATTCAGCAGGATCTGATTCCTGAACTCACGTGGTATTACTTTCTCCTACCCTTTCTGACAAGCTACTGTTAATGATTTAGCAGTCTGCACTCAGCAATTTTCCAAAGGAGCTCTCATGGGAGGAGCACTCACAGGCTCTTATCTATAAGAAACTGTGGTTTGATGCAGAACGTGCAAATTGTGCTTTGAAGTATCAACTGAAACAAACTCGTGTGGAAATTGACCTAGAGTCTAGCATGGCTCATATTGGTGGTGGTCCAAGAAACCATTCTTTCCATCTATGTGATATGGGTGTAGATCCAAGTAATTCCTATGGATCTGCCATAACTTGCCCACTGAGGCTCAAGGGCCATCCCGGAGGAAGAAAGACTCATAACCTGCTTTCTGCTGCTGACCACATTCAATCAGGAGACAGCAGCGTTCTATCAAGATCAAAAGGTTACATAGCTGTGCCAGAGAATATTGAGGATGAATATTTCTTGCCAGGCTCGGAAGAAACTGGTGTCCACCGCCATGTGCATCCTGGTCTACAAGTGAAACCAAGTAGGGCCTTCAAAAGGTTGAACACAAGCACATCAGATGGAATGTCATCATCCTCATATATCACTGGAAGGGATGACATTCTGCGTGGCAGCTGCGAGTTTGGATCTTCAGACTGGGAGCATGTGCTGAAGGAAGAAATCGGCTCAACCTAAAGGGCTGAAGGGATCTGGCTGGAAGTATATACTAGTAGTGTACATGTATGAGCAACCATGAACCTAGGAATTTGTGCCCTGTTCGCTTGGCTGATAAGTCATGGCTGAAAGTACCGTTGACTGATTTGTTGTGAGAGAAAAATAATGTTCGTTGGCTGAAAAAGTACGGCTTATAAGCCAAGCGAACTGGGTGTTGAGGCCTCTTGATTTTGCTTGACAAGGCTGATGAATGGGCACTGCTTGAAATGGTGCCGCTCTAGCCAACGGAAAACCCCTTATTTATCCTGTGTTGGGAACAATGTCTATAAATCATAACTTGGATGACTATGCTAATTTTCTAGCATGCCAAATGCAGATGCTATTTTGGCACATGATTAAGAAGTCCAGCCATATTTCGATTTTGAGAGTTCATGGACCTAGTGTATTTAACTCTAAAGTAAATGTTGTCTATAAACTATATCTAAGCATAGCATAAGTTTAAAGCATTAGCATGGACATAAGCCTAAGGGTGGAGCTTGATTTCCCACGAGTCCATTACACAAATACTCTAAAGCTAGAAGTCATGAAAGTGGTCATAATGGAGAGCATGCGCATGATCAATACAAGTCAAAACTGCGCAGATCGAAACATGTTTTACCTACTGAAGAGTGAGGATACAACCCATATGACCCATCGGTATCTAAGGAGTCTCTCATGCCTCATCCTTTATCATGCTCAGCGAAATCACCCATGAACGGTTGAAATGGTCGGGGTACTAGCTGCCTCGCGCCCCAAGTCGCCCTAGTCATAACACAATACTAGACTTATCATCCCCATCCATGGCAAGTGGTTGGTACAATATTGTGTCTAAGACTTACTACAACAGATGCAACGGTCCTTAATCGGCCAAAGGAGTTGCGTCATCAGAGATCCTTGTCGAGCCTCGATCACATTCATTTTCTTCGCCAAGTTTTATCTCTTTTCTCCCCATTTGTTCATTAGGTAAGGCCATCAACTCCTAACCTTGTGTAAACAGTGAGAAACACATCACATGCTCAAATTCTACCGGTATAAGCAAGCTAAGCATGTATTAGGTCCTTAATGGAGCCTGCGTGTACACTAGTAATATGCCTTAGTGTGACCACCATCACCACCCTTGTGGCACAGGGCGACACCGATGGCGAATCTACATAAAGAGCAAGATGGCTAGGTTTAGGATCCGTGGTGCATCCCGGGGTCTCGTGCCGCAACCTCCATCGCTGGTCCCACTTATAAGGGACATAGGGCACCATTAGCGAGACAACAAAGCAAGAACCCTTGCAACTCCCTGTAACCACACATATCTCTCCCCTGCTCGATTGTAACCCCATTTCTCCTGAACGCTTGAAACATGAAATTGCTACTGGACGTCAGGTGCGAGGCCAAACCAAGATAAACCCTTTGTGTCTTGAGTGTTAGGCACTTAGGCCATTGGAACTCATACATTGACATTCTATTTACTCATCGTAGTAACGAGCCCACGACACTACTGTTGACGGATAGTCCATTCAACATGTCGGATAATCTGTCCGGACATCGGTGACATTGTCAGGAGGTCCAATCAACGGGCTGATGTGATGGACAGTCCGTCCGAACACCATAGGCTCTTCAACTAGGGTCTTTTGACTAGGTCACTAAGGATAGTCTTGGGACAACATCTCAGCTTTCTCATGGGCTCCAAGGTGTCGGGGTGGTTCCACCATCGTGCGTTCCTCTAGGTACGTTCTCTGTCTTCATTGTAGATAATCCCCATTGATGGTTTTAGAGGTGATCCACTTGAGTCACGTGTGGGCATCTAGCTCCACTAACTTTTATGGCCAAGAGAGGTCTCACATCGGAGATAAAGCAGGTATTTGTTTTCACTAATCCTAAGGTAAAAGGAGTATTGGGAAGAAAGGCTTGAGCATGTTTGGAAGTCGAGGATGAATAGAACACTTAAAAGAAAGCACAGACTTGGGATTAACTCAATGGTGTTTAGAAGAAGACAACAAGCATTACATAATCCACGACAACTGATAAGCATGAACTAGATGATGATCAAGGTCTTGGTTAGCTTGAAGGTCATCAAGGGTTACTCAAATTAGAGAAGGGAATATGGTCGAATGACACGACTCATGATAAGATAGCTCGTTGGTGTGGCTCTATAGAGGTCATGATACTTCACCCCTGATGTCTGCATCCATCCATGGGCTTACCCATGTGGCTGTGGTCCACATGGAGTCTTGGTTCTTTACGACACGAAGGGATACTGCCATATCGTTGTAGAGCATGCATGCCATCGACGAACGTTTTATCGAGACGGATGATTCAAGAGGATTTTGAAAAGGTTATGATCAAGACATCCAAGAACGGTGATGTGTTGGTTAAGCTCATGTCAAAGGCCTGGGATTCTTGGACTAACTTTAGAAAGAAGATGGATTTGCAGTTTAACAAGGATTTAACAAAAAGTTTTAAAAATGGTGGATTTTTGGGTTGTTATAGAATTCCTTGCTCCCCTTCGAAAAAAAAAACTCAAAGAAAATGTACGGTTTGAGATCATCCACTAGTAAGTAACTTTAGCAACTGTGTACAAATAAACGAGCTTGCAATTCATGGCTGAAGTCTGTTGATCCGTTGTTAGACTACACAACTGAGTACTATGACAAAGTAAATCATATTCCCAATATCCGTGTTACATGAACTTGGAATAAATGTTTGTAAATTGGTAAATGTATGAACGACGATAAAAAATTGAGAAGGTTGTGCCACACAGAGATTAAAACGCTTTACTGAAACATGCAATTGTATATATGCATAAAATCAATCTGAATTTGTTTCCACAAACAAGTTGAATTTACCATGTAACTGAAGCAGCCATAAAGTAGAGAAAGTTGATTCATTGTTTAATTTTTGGTTGGAGAAGATGATAACATAAAGCAAGGATGATCCTATCCACTTGAACAGACTTACTGTTTTACTAACCTGCAACTTGTAGCCTTGTGTTGGTTTGTTTAGTTTTTTTGAAGCAAGGATTACTTTGTTTAATTGCGCCAGCAGGTCGTGTTGTGTCCTAGTCCCTGAACAGCTCAACGTGTTGCCAAAGTACAAGCCAAGAGTGAGATGCACTGAATTGGTCATTTGAGGTGGCGTGCGTTCTTATTACGTACGGATTAGTACTTCCAGTTTTCCTGTCATGATGTCTTCATGAATCGACTTTATTTTGTCATTTTGTGATTAACTGGTCATCCATTTATAAAATTTCATTGTGTCACCAACGCACTATACCACCTTAGCTTTTTTCCAGCCATAGTCTGTAGGTGCCTTTCAAGTGACTATATAGAGTCCAAAACGGCTCTACAAATCCACAAGTCATTCAACAACCTCGTCTTTTCCCAACTTATTGGAGTTTCTAATGAGAGCAGTAAGTTATGCTGCTCACCAATGGTGATTTATTAGGATATGGCATGCCTTAATCAAAACAAAAAGCGGTAACGTCTCGTTTGAGCCCAAGGAATTGAACTCCTATAGTCCGATGTACATGCCGACTTGGTATGCAACTGGTGGTTAAGATAAAGGTGCAGTTCGTGACTGACTGGTCCCAATGCATGTAAACAAAAGCATAGTGAAATAAAGTGCGATGGGATCACTCTCAAGGGTTGTTATGGCTTATATTATTCACACACAGGGATATGTTGCTGAACCAAAAAGGAAGAAGAAAAGGAATTCAATTTTGTAGACTAGCTTCAGCTCAACAAATCCCTAAAAAATGCACTTTCCAGCAACTCCAAGTGACTCTCCATTTCCTTCTTTTTTAATAGAGATTTTGATGAAAAAATACCTCTAAGACTGTCTCCAATAACCGTTACCCAAAATACAAGACCCATTCCATATTTGGGTAGCGCTACAGGCAAAGAGTTCAATACCTATTTTTTGTCTTCTCCAACAACAAGACCCAAAAGATAATCCTTTCTGAAATGGGTCTCTAGAAGAAAGGATACTCAGATTTAGGTTATATCTCTCCTGACACCCAAAATGGATCTTCCATATAGGTACTCTATTGGAGGTTATAGGTATTGTGTTGGAGACCCATTTTGGGTTTGGGTCTCCTGTTGGAGACAGCCTAATAGTTTATTTATTTGGTTGATATAGCCATCTTTTATTCCGGATTTCGAGGATGGCTCTCTAAAGTACATATGAGATATAGAAAAAGGTTGAAAAGCGAAAATATATAGAAAGTGATTTTTATGCAAATAACTCTATAAATGATGATTTATTAGAGAGTGGGCTTTTGAAAGACTCTTGGAAATGCTCTTAGAGCTAGCTATAAAATGGATGTATGTGCACCATGGGTTTTGATGGTTTTCTAAAAATACGTTTGCAATGTCTCATAATAATATACATGGTATCTACACAATGGTATTTTCCAACAGCATGCAACATTTTTCTGAGGTACAAAACACAAACTTTTGCATGTGGGGTTAGAACATGTATTATACACACACACACAAGATCAGATGTATATACATATACATCGTGCATGTGTCACCATATATATGTGCAGATATACTAACAAGTTTTAGAAGCTCTTCCTATGCACAAAAGGGACACTGATAATCTTCTTCATGGACAAAGAAGACAAAAACACTCAGTTATTCTAACTAGAAGATATTATATCCTTGTAATCACAGAAAAAAAAACAAAACAAGATACATATCATAGATAAAGACTTATGGTGGTACATTGAGATGTGGTTAATTGTTCCATCCAATTAATTCTCGTTGCCTCAAATAGTAGTCCAATATGTAAACAAGGTGATCAAAATTTGTGCTCAAATATCTAACACATTCAGTAAAAAAGGCAAAGGGACAGACATGAAATGAGCTGGAAATGAAAGATTTGCTCAACTTGTAGAATAACTTTATGCTATGATTAGCACAAGCATGGTCATGAAACATATATACGACAGTGTTAAAAACCATGGAAATACAATAGCTAATTCACCTCAATTCATCCGATGCACACAATTGCTTAAATGACAGCTACATATGATTGTCTGTGCATAAAAATAAAACAAAAATCTAGGCCTTGAGTATAAACAGGATATTCTCCCATAATTCAGTCGTGATTCAGAATCCTATGATTGTCTGTTCATAAATCTTATGGGCAGCTAGATACTCAACTAAACCATAGTAAATAATTGCCCTCTTGGTCACAATCAACTGCACTAAGAGTGGTAATTATACTACAGAAACAAAAAACAAGAACAAGGAACCAAAGAACAAGATCGAGAGCAAGGATCAAATCACCATTAATTACTTCATGCAATTACCTAGAATAAATCATCAATCCAATTAGAATCAAATAAACATGACTAGTTAAGATTCAATAAGGCACCACTGTGTATCAATAGAAATTGCTAGCTCTACCTATGGTGTAATAAGGTTCCAGATCAGTAGATCATCATCTCTGCCCACCTACGTCGTTGCTACTAGCTGTCGCCGTCGCCGTCGACATACTCCACTTCGGTGGAAGCCGGTGCCGGTGCATCGTCGCCGCTGCACTCAACATTGAACCCGAAGAGCCTGAAGCTCCTCGCCCCCGAGGGTCCCACCTCGGTGTCATGACCGGCGATGGCGGGGGACGCCGTCTCCACCGCCATCGTTGCACCCCCATTCAAGGCTTGCACTCCGACAACTATCGGCCACGGCGGCATGGTGGTGGCAGCGTCGCCGAAGCTGATATCGACATCGCGGCGGCGGCGGCGCTGGCAGTGGCGATGCTCGATGAAGTAGCGGCCGCCGCCAGCGCCGCGGGAGAAGGTGACGGTGTCCCCAGCAGCAAGTCGCGCGGCGCGGACGAAGCGGCGCCACCCCTTGGTCATGACGTAGCTCTGGCTGCTCCCCCAGTAGGAGTACCGGAACTGCCACAGCGCGCCGCCGCGGTCCTGGAAGCACAGCAGCGTCCCGGCACCGGCAGCCGGGAAGAACCGCTCCGCGTGCTGCTTCGGCACCACCAGCCGGTTGAGCTTGCCAACGTCGCTCGGGGTCAGCACCTTGTCGAACATGTGCTCCCGCTCCACCCCATGGCTTGGCTCGCCACCGCCGCCGCCGCGGCCACCTTGTTGGTGGAGATCTTGACCTAGAGCTCGTTGCTGGTACAAGTTGTCTTCTTGGTCTTCTTGCACTTCTTGAGTGTCTTCTACCAGTGTGCCCAAGCTCAGGTCCATGTACACGGGATCAATTGGCTGGGTTTCTCTCTTGCTCTAGCTCTATATAGCACAAGATCTAGGAAATGTTATGGGGGATTTTCTTGAATATCTAGGGCAGATGGAGCATGTGTGAGTATAATGCAACAGAAGAGCTAAGAGAGCTTGATGTTGTCTAACTGGCTACCTGGCTATAGCTCATCACCGTCATATAATTTCTTGATGAGTAATGAGAGAGTAGAGGGGCATGGCTAGAGGAGGAATCAGCTTTGGTGAGAGATTTTTGAGTGACAGAAACAAGAGAGAAGCTTCTTGCAAAGAGGGGAAGGAGGGGCCTCTACTTGATACACTAATCAAATATGTTTAGGGGACAAGTGGGTTTGTCCTTTCTGCAATTGGCAGGGGCAGGCAAGGTATGACCAATATTAGTAAACAATCAGCAACTACTTAATTCGTTCGAAACCACTAAGTGCTGCCTGAATATATATCAACATACATGCTGCGGCATGCAGTGGTTTATGGTTTGCAACTTGTTGATGGGGCAGGTATGTCAACTAAGGACCCCTCGTGGAAATTCAGCAGATGCAGTTTGCTGGCCCTGTGTAAACTTGTGCCTATATGATCTTTGATTTATATTCTTTTCTTTTCTTTTCTTTTTCCTTTCTCTTTTGTGTGCTCTCTACTTCTCAAGTGAACTGGGTGGGATATATTGCCAGCAGTCTTAGAAAACTGGAATCAGGTTGTTTCACCACCTGCACTTACATCCCTTGTGCCATTCTCAACGGAGAGTTTCACGGCGTTGTTTCCAAGACTAACACATCATGTTAAATGAAATGAAATATTCATCCTCAATATATAGTTTCATTCTATAATTTCATAAACAGTTAATTTCATAACTCATATAGAGTTGATAATCATGCCAAGAGAGTTTCATCTAGATAAAACTAACTTCTCTCTCTTCTTAAAAACGTTGTCATGCCATCAAAAAACGCCTATATGTGATAGCCTATTAAATGCAAATCAGACTATGAAATATTCATCCTCAATGCATATATAGTTTCATTCTATAATTTCATAGACATTTAATTTCATGACTCATATAGAGTTCGTAATCATGCCAAGAGAGTTTCGTCTAGATAAAACTCACTTCTCTCTCTTCTTAAAAATGTTGTCATGTCATCAAAAACGCTTATGTGACAACCTATTAAATGCAAATCAGACTCACATGAAACTCTCACTGAGAGTGGCCTTAGTACGTATAGATTATTAATTGAAACAATAAACAAATATGTTCACAAAACAAGAAACAATAAACAAATACACACTTCGGTTATATTCATTATTCTACTTGATAGAACAAGATAATTCTTAGGAACTTTGCAAAAGTTAGAATGAACAATTCAATTTCCAAGAAATGAGGAGTAACAGTGCTCTCTCCGTTTCTAAAGAAATGCTATTTAAGTTTTATCTTAAGTTAAACAATCTTAATTTTGATCAAATTTATAGGGAAAATTATCAGCATTTGTGATGCCAAATACATGTACTGTGAAACTATATTTCGTGATAAGTTTAATGATGATACTTATTTGGTATCGTAAATATTGATAAATTTTTATATAAATTTCATCAAACTTAAGATGATTTGCTTTAGATAAAGCTAGAATATAACATTATTTTTTGGACCGAGGGAGTACATCGGTATAACCCACTGTCTTCTCTTACTTTTTCCGGTAAAATACTGATTTTTTGGACACCTAGACATGGTCCCCCTTATTATTTAATGATGTTTTTTTATTACAAGCTTTGGTTGTAATCAAGTGTAAATCAGCAGGTTTCCCAAGGTCAACAGCTGTACATAAGTAGGCAAAAATTGAGAACTAATATTTAAACTTGGTTGATCAAGTCGGCAAGTTGATCTTCTGCTGACGTCATCTACCCAGTGTATTGTGGCGTCAGCTTCCACGTGACGGTATATTATTATACAAATAGGTTGGTTTTAACTTCATATATAGCTATCTGGATAATTCCAGTTGCAGAAAGAATAATCCTCAGATTCCAGCAAATACTTTCTGCATCCTTATTAACATGAGCAGAGCTGGAGACAGAACATATATATGAATTTAAGGGGGACAAATAAAACTTAAAATTTAGCACCAAGAAATTCCTTGCTAAAATATAAATATGCACAGTGGAATGTAGGGATGGAAATTGAGCGGATATTTCCCGCTCTATACACATTGTCAACTTAAACTTTCATCATGACCGGCATTGTTACATTACATTGGCGTCTTGGATCTATGCCCATTCTTCAAAACATAATATTGTTGCTGAAAGAATCAAGATGCCCAAGAGGAGGTGAGTTGGGCTAATTCTAAAATTCTTTGCAATAATTAAACCCTACGCTTAGCTCACTTCACCCCTTATGCCTAGAATGCGTTCCTATTATTCCACCGCACAAAAGTTTTGCACCCTATGTTCTAATCCTACTCTAACATGGCAGTTCTAAGAATGTAAAGACAAGAAATGAATTGCTCAAATGTAAATTCTTAAAGTAAAGAGAGGAGAAGGAACGCGGCGATGTTTTGTTGAGTTATCGGAGAGTCGCCACTCCCCACTAGTCCTCGTTGGAACACCCATGCAAGGGTGTAGCTCCCCCTTGATCCGCGCAAGGATCAAGTGCTCTCTACGGCATGATTCTTCGACACTCCATCGCGGTGAATCGCCCACAACCGCTTACAACTTGAGTTGGGTCATCCACAAGCTCCGCCGGATGATCACCAAACTCTTAATCACCACCGAGCCGTCTAGGTGATGGCGACCACCAAGAGTAATAAGCACAAACTCTCACTTGACCACGACAAGCCTAATGAGAAGGGTGGATGCACACTTGCTACTCTCCTTGCACTAATGAGGCCTTAATCTTGGATTCTCAAATCTCAATCACCTCACTACGCTCTTGCCCTCCTTAGCACTCTCAAGGGTGTTTCTCAGCTGAACAAATAGGCAAGAGGCTTCCCTTGGATAAATAGAGGAAGTATTTATACCCCCACATTCAAAACGAACCGTTAGGAGGTTGAGTCAGCACTCTGCGGGGTGATCGGACGCTCCGGTCAAGGTGATTAGACACTCCGGTCAATTATCCCCACCACAGAGCCCTTAAGTTATGACTGAACTCTGATCTGCGTCCGGTCAGCACTGACCGGATGCGTTCGGTCATAAAAACTGCTCTCTGGAACCTTACCGATGTTGACCGGATGATGGCACCCAGAGTCCGGTCACTTCGCTCTTCAGCGTCCGGTCAGTAACCGGATCCTGATCAGCGTCCGGTCAGCACTGACCGAACGCGTCCGATCAGGAATCTCCCTCTCTAGAACCTCTTTGGAGTTGACCGGACTCTGGCACCCAGTGTCCAGTCACTTTTCACTCAGCGTTCAGTCACAACCAGACGGCTCTAGTTGATCAAATGAACTGACCGAACTCACCCTTCAGCGTTCGATCACTACCAAACCAGCGTCCGGTCAGTCATTTGACCCTCCATTCACTTCCAACTCAAAATCATATGTGAATGAAGTTTGCTCCAATTGATCTTAGGGCTACTCCGGAGCTACCTAGTGCTAGATTTGATAAGTGTGCACCACACCTAACCCACTAGACTCACCTAGGTCAAGCTACTAGTTTATACCCCCCTTAATAGTACGGCCAAAGGAAAAACAAAGTCATAAACTACTCTAAGTGTCTCTTCAACACCAAACGATACTTAGAACTAGTCCATCCTTAACCTTGTCGTCCATCCTTTGAAAACCGAAATAATTTCCATCGTAGGGGCATGACAACCATGATTGCCCAATCAATTGCCATTACCATGACCTAATTTAATTGCCTCTACAAAACACATGTTAGTCATAGTAATCTCGTATTGTCATTAATCACCAAAACCCAACTAGGGGCCTAGATGCTTTCAATCTCCCTCTTTTTGGTGATTGATGACAATACAACCTCGAGTATGTGAAACAGATGAGGTTTTCAACATGCTTGGTTCATATAAGCTTTTTACGATAAGAGCAAAGGAGTTTGACATGCTTATATGACCCAAGCCAACATGGTGTACTCAATAGATATGAAATAAGCATGAGTACAAGAAATAAAGCTCATTTGAATCGGAATAAAACACGGAAGCAAGGCAAATGAGCATAACCAAGTGACATGACATATATATAAATCAAAGTAGATACATATAAATCAAAGTAGAGAGCACACATGTCACATATCACAAAAGTATCACAATCACACGTATGTAGTTCAATGCATGAAAGTAAACGTGAATGCATAATAATGTATCACACATAAAAAGCCAAAAGTAATAAATCATAAGCTCCCCCTAGATCTAACGCTCCCCCTAGATCTAACATACTATATCCCTCTCCCCCTTTGGCGTCAAGCACCAAAACCTAAGGGTCGGACGGCGGGGCAGGAGCAGACGAGTTGGGCGCTGAGGTGCGGTGAGCGATCTGAAACTGTGCAGCATCATCCTCTAATCTAGAGCTCTGAGTTGTCTGACCCTCTGTCGCTGGAAGTGAAGCTAAAGCGGTCTGGGTCTGCTCTGGGACTGGCGCGGCCTATGACTCTACAGGTATCACTATAGGAGCTGGCTCTGATGATGCAACAAATGATGGGAGCGTCTCTATAGTCCCAGTAACTGGAGCAATGGTGGTAGGTACAGGTACTCGTAGCTCTGGCGGTGTAGGCTGCCCTGTAAGCTCACTGAAAGTGGCACCGAGGCTCCTAGAAACTGGGGTGTCAGTCACAAGCACCGAGGAACTCTGAGTCGGTGTGAAGCCCGTAACAATAAGTGTGAAGTGCGGACCCTAGGCTATCACTGGCGAAGCAAACCACTAGGACACCTGCTCTGTAGGTGAAGCAAACTGAGTAGCTAGCTATCCCTGACTCTGAAGCCCACTGGGCTGTACAACTACAGTCACTGAAGTGGTGGCAGGCTGGCCGAGCTGAGGTGTAGACGATGG